AGAGAGAGAGAGAATGTGTATGTGTAAGTACCCGACTGAATGTTCTCGTTGAACTCGATCTCATTGCATTGTGCTTCAAAGCACGATGAAAGATTGTCCAAAGACTCTTTTATAATTTTCTCATTTTCTTCTTCCATTCTTCGTCTTATTTCTACTTCTTTTTCTTCATTCTTCTCTTATCTTAGCTTATAGCCCTATTCTAATTTCCATATCTACATCTAAAATTTCAAGAAAAAGTAAGGAACATTGGCAGATGTATGAGAAAGAAAGATAACAAGATTCCAGTTCGCGCCGCAGTCAAAAAGTTACACTTGATCATTTAGATCAAGATTTCTTAATCTTTTTGTTTGCTGCGGATTCCTTTTAAACAATTTTCCATTCTCGCGGCTACCGAACGTTATGGAATTGTCATTTATTATTTATCTTTTCGAGCATGTTCTTCTTCATTCATTCTCTTCATTTAAATCTAAATTTTTATCATTACTTTTCTTTTCAATAATTTGGTACTTCTCGTCGATTATTCGAAGATTACTTTTTCCACCGGCATTGAAAAGATTAAGAAAACACTGCGTCAAATGATTCGTGTTCTCACTTCTCGAGCCAAATTCGACTTCTACTTCCTCACGATGCGTAAATTTTCCTTCCAACGGAACATCGATCAGTTTAACAGCAGATGTTTCGCTATAATATTTCGCTTCCACTCGTTGTTTGTGTAGTATCGATCGAGCCTTCTTTCTATAAAAATGTAAAGAACAGAATGGAAAGAGGCGTCGTAAAAAAAAGCATCGGGAAATCGTGTTCGAAGTCGGCTGAATGGACAATATATTTATCAGTATTAAAAAAGAAAAGGAAAGAAAATGAAGACGAAGACATTATTAAATGTTACGCGATTTATAAATTAATAATTAATAAAACAAGCGATTAATCGATCAAATCAAGTCGTCGTGCTTTCTTTCGAACGAATAGACGCGCCAGATGCCAGACTGAAGACTCGAGACAATCGTTTTCGTTACTTAACCCTCCGTATCTAATCTGAGTGAAATCGAGAACTTTTGAGAAGCAAACTTTCACTCTTTTTGAAAAATTTTTTAAAAATTGGACAGTAACAGAGCCGGGCAAACTTTATTTGAAATAAGTATAAAAACTAACAGTTTGAGATAACGAATCATTTCCACTAGTTTAGCATTCTTATTTAAAAAATGACTTCATCTTGGATCCAAAACAAACAAATCATTTGTAAATAATGTTTTGTCTGAGTAGATTTGTCGAAATAAAATAACAAATAATTCCAGCAGAAGATAAAGTTTATAGAATGGAAACTATTTGAAAAATCATTTGTATAGAAATAGAATACAAAATGTAAAATGAAGTAGAAAAGTTATTTTACTTGATCTTTTTTATTCGTACGAGAGGATAATATGTTACTAAATATTTTATTTAAATAACGTCCAAACTTGTATAGTATAATAAGGTTTCATTAACTAACACGATATTTTTGTACAAATTTCTAAAAGCTTAGGACACTTAAAAAAAAAGAAAAAAATAAGATATAAACGACTCATGTACGATAATATGGTTGTCAACGGAGGGTTAAGTATATTTGTCGTTTCTATTCAGTCTTTGCTCTTTCAATGTTGCTCTCTGTTACTTCAATGTTACTCTGTTATTTGACTCTTCCTGTTCTACTAGTAATACCGTTGTACTTTCCAATTGAAAGTTGTTACACTTCTGCTTCCTCTTTACGTGAAAATGGCCGTGTTTTAAATATTTCTCGATATATCGAGTCAATTTCTTCGTGTATGATCATTCGTCCGTCCGTGCGTTCGTCAGATTCATTTTTTCTTCCTCGATAGGTAGTATAGCATATACGTGGATAATTATTTTTAGTCGAAATGAATTGCTCCCTTATTCTGATCACGCACATATACATTTTCTGTATGTACACGTGCATGTGTATACCGATCTTTTCAAACGGTTCTATTTTGGGGAAATTAGGGAAATTAATTTCGCAGCAACGTTTTTTGCGAGACTATTTTCTAATTAACGCGTCGGTGACAGCGAATTAACGTATCGAGATACGAAAAATGTTAAGGAAGAATAAAAGTAACATTAAATTATACATATTACTTATTTTAATATAGTTGGAAGTGAAATATGCTTCAAACTTTCATATTTTTATTCGTTTGATTTTGTGAGAAAAATTATGTCTACGATATCTTATATCACTCACAAGTGATTTACTATAGAATTAAACTCTTGTGGTATATTCCATATTATTCTTTTAGTAAAATCCTGTATCATATTTCAGCAAGTTCTTTTTGCAATTACGAGAAACATGTAAATTAATTTAGTGCAAGGAAAGCTAGTTTATTAGTAATTTATTATTAAATATTCTGTTCGAATAATGGAATGTTCGGTCATCAGATTATTCGGATAACTGTATCTGTTTCGATTTTCCTTTTTTCTTTTGAACGATCGTTTGGCTGTGGCCTAACGCGTTTCACGATATCATGAAAGTACGTTTTAAATTAAATTTAATCCGTCTCTTACGAAAGAAGATCTCTCTATTGAGTCTGCAATATCTGGAGGAACTAATAGGAAGCGCTTTATTGATTAGACGAAGTAGAATTAGCATGTAATAGTTCAGACGTGACACGACGGGACGCGAAAGCCTCGTTTCCTTCCAGACGAAAATACTAAATAATACGAGGAAAAATCGTATAAATGTCGACTTAACTAGCCGTGTCTGAATCGAAATTTACAATCTACCGTTGTTTTCCTCGCCTGGCTATCCACATCATTCGTCCTCGCTATCTACCGGCCGTTTTTACCGAGAACTTTTTTACCGAGAAATTTATTCGACAACCTAAATAAATACGTTGTTTCTTACGCGCATTCTTTTCTCGCACTGTTATCTCTTTTTCTTTCACCTTTCAATGTCTTGAAAAATACAGAACGGTAGAAAACGTTATCTCTGAGCGAAATTAAACATTTCGTCGGACGAAATGGATCGTGGGTGAGGGAGAAGCGAGGTGTTTTCAGCGAGTTGAACGAGTTATCGAACGGTCTCCGTGTATTTTCATTAGCCCATTAAGGAGCGAACAGTGATTTATATCGCAATGTTAATTTCCTTGAATTTCGTAAACCAGGTGGAGAACATGGTGACAAAGGAATGTTAATCCTTGGACTTTCTTTTGTACAGCTCGGATATTAAAGTGATAGAATTTGATGATATAATCTGATAGTTTAATAGAGTAGCAAATGTACTTGCTCCTTAGTGGGTTAAAAGAACTGTGCGTTGCGACAGAAAAGAAAGTTCGTTCTCGAACAAATTGTGTACGATCCACGTGTGCGTGAATCAAGGCTACGTAAAAGCCCATAACAAGCAAAGCCCATGGAAGCGAAGAATGGGTTCGAAAAGAGAAAGAGAAAGAGAGAGAGAAAGTAAAATCGAAGTCGACGAAAGAAGGTGAAAGAGATAGAAGGATACACTTTCAACGAGTACGAGACACGATAACAAAAGAGACAATAATTAATGCAGCCTTATCCGATGAAAGTATCTACAACGTTACACTGCGCGATCGTTGAGATCAGCGTGTAAAATGGATAGCGTGTTCGGTATTCTTCCGTTTCCCTAAAACGTGTCGGTCCGTCTATTGCGCGGCCATTTTGCAAAAGGCGATCGACCAAAGTTTCCAGCCTATTATACATCGTGATAATATTCGATGTGAATTCCAAAAAACGACAAGGCAAACCGTGAACCGCCAATAGCTGAGTATTTATTGTA